TAAACCGGCAAAAAATCCAAATCGGCGATGGTCAATGACCTTGACATTTCGCTCACTTAAACAAAATGCTACGTGCAACATGTCACGAGAAGGTGCAAATTGATTGGCCTAACTTCACATAAAAATGGCAACTTCGAAAACCCTACAGTTTCGGCGAACTCAATTTCGGCGTGTCAATAGCCTGCGGCCCAGACTACGACGGCGAGGGATGCCAAGTTCAAAAGTCATGTGGGCATCGGCGAATGAGGACACAGGATAAAAGAATAACCAATGGAACCGCCCGACAGAATAACTAATCGCGGTCAAAGGTCATCCCCGGCTACCAGCACGAATATCAACACACACGTAACACTACTGAACGCACAACCACTAACCCACCGGTACGCACAACTACGTACTAATGATGTCACCTCGGTTGATGATGAAACGTTTGCAACCAAATTTCCCAGCTCAGCGAACAAGCCGGCGACCATCTACGCTACCTGAGCTACCGACTTTCCCCTCTATAGAAAACACCACTAGTCCGTCGGGTCAACAAGGCGCTCGGGAAACTACTGCTAGTGGTAACAAGTCAATATGTATGTTTCCCTCTCTCCGGACTCATCACCGAAGAAACTGGAAAGTAATGCTATTTCATTAACCCCACTTAATTGGTGCGGCGTTTAGGGAAGGCATCTATTAGTTTGACGTTGAATGCAATGCAGAGCGCTTATGGGCAAACAAATGGAAATTTGTGGGCATACCTGCGTCCATTAGATCAAACAGTAAGACGGATAAGCATTTCAGTGCATCAAGACTGGCTGAGATTTCACTGAGTATTGCAATCGATGGGGATTTTAGTAGCTGTCAAACTTATTACGATACTGAATAACTTCGCCTCAGAACCTGAGGCGAGACGGACATAGCCGCAAGTTGCTTACTAAATCAGCCGCACAGTCGGCGAGCTGAACCACCTCCTTGTGGTTCGAGTTCACACAATGAAAGTGTTGGTACGAACACGGTTGCCTAATTGGCCGGCGCTGATTGTTCCCGCCTTTTTCCAATGAAGATTGGCCCGAGTCAACACCGCCGGCACGCACACCCCACCCAGCATAATGCGGACAAGCCTGGCCGAGTGAAGTATTCCGGTACCCGCTGGTTCCAGTAAGAGTCACAATCGCTCTTACGCCTGGATAACAATTTATATCCATCTTGTGGCACGCAAACCGAGCTGTTCACGAGATCGGAGCAGTATTTTCC